GGAAACCAGTTTTATCAAAACAATAATATGAAAAAGGTAAACAAAGGTTGGAAACCAGTTTTATCAAAACAATAATATGAAAAAGGTAAACAAAGGTTGGAAACCAGTTTTATCAAAACAATAATATGAAAAAGGTAAACAAAGTGATCTTACTCACTTAGATATTTGGTATGATTTCATTAAAAATAATTAGTTCAGATTTTTCTTTTGCAAATCCAACTTTTAGCATAGTTTCCAATTTAAATGCATTAAAGAAGGTATTTCTAAAACACTTAAAGGAATCCTATATTATCTCTGTTTAAACTGTATCGACTAGAAGCATTTATATTTCCGCTCTGGGGGGATTATAAGCTGAAACTTGGAAAGAGCTTAAAGTGTACAATTCATGTTGTAGATAAAAATGTATCTTTCCTTGCTTAGGGTAGGTTTATTTAGAACAGGAGTAGGGTTTTATTTAGTGCATAAGTAGGTTTTATTTAGAAGAGGAGTTGGGTTTATTTAAAAAAGGAGTAGGTTTTATTTAAAAAAGCGTAGGATTTAGTCATGATTATCTTAAACTGATCTTGTTTAATGATTATCTTGAACTGGATAATCTTGAACTGATCTTGTTTAATGATTATCTTGAACTGATCTTGTCTAATGATTATCTTGAACTGATCTTGTTTAATGATTATCTTGAACTGTTCTTGTTTAATGATTATCTTGAACTGATCCTGTTTAATGATTATCTTGAACTGATCTTGTTTATTGATAATCTTGAACTGATCTTGTTTATTGAGTATCGAATAATTGGATCCAAGAACTGAATAATTTATCTTGCAGAGTAATCAGATGATAAACAGTTGTATTAGGATTATCTCCGAGTAGAAACCAATAGGAAGTATCCGGGATATCCGGAGAATATATATCCACAAAATATCTAAGCTTTAGAAAACCATTGGATATCAATAGTTTCCTGGGGATACACTACACCAAGGTACTAATGCAAGGAAAGTTATTTCAGAGGTGTACGCATTTTGTGTACTGCAGTGTAGACTGTCTTTGGGCGGAAAAGTAAACACAAGAAGGATGTCACTGCCTGACACGGAATCAATTTTCACAAAAATAACTTATGAAATATTCTGGTCAAACGAAACTATTATGTGAATTATCAAAATTATCAAAATTTAATGCTTTTAACCTCCTCGGATACTAAACTAACACTAATGCATCTATTCTTGTTTACAAATTCCGCCCAGAGAGAACTGGTTTCAATATGTACGCAGAGTATACGCGACCACAATCAACTTTCCTTGCATTAGTACCTTTCACTACACGGTAAACTAGATGTCCTGGTTAAAATTCTATAATCCAGTCTCAACATTTTAACCCATTTTCACCCATTTAATGTAGATTTTTAGTATTAGCTATTTTATACTTTGGCTTTGTATTCGAATTATTCAAGTACGGTGGTAGGTGTTTATATCAATATAATGAGGACGAATTTCGATTTAAATTTTGATGTTTATCAAAACAGCATGGATTCACATAAACATTGAAACATAGCGAAGCTGTCAAATAAAGAAGCTTCTCTTTAAATATTTGTAAACTTTAAATTTGAAAAAAGCTTGATAACAATTAAAATTTAAATACAAAAGTCGTCTTCATTACATTGAAATAATCGCCTACTACCGAAGATAATGTCTCTAACGCTAATTTTGATGGATTTTGAATGAGAGATGCAAATTATGGCTGAAAATATTCTGATATAGACAGGAGGGTTAGTTTTACGTGACTTAAGACTATTGCTTACACATACACATACATAAATTCATCTAATGATATCCAGTATTGAAGGATATCCAGAATTAAAGGATATCCAAAATTAAAGGATATCCAGTATTAAAGGATATCCAGCATTAAAAGATATAGAATATTAAAGGATATCCAGTTTTAAAGGATATCCAGTATTAAAGGATATCCAGTACTGAAAGATATCCAGTTTTGAAGGATATCCAGTATTGAAAGATATCCAGTTTTGAACGATATCCAGTATTAAAGGATATCCAGTATTTAAGGATATTCAGTATTAAAGGATATCCAGTATTCAAGGATATCCAGTATTAAAGAATATCCAGTATTAAAGTCTATCCAGTATTAAATGATATCCAGTATTAAAGGATATCCCGTATTTAAGGATATTCAGTATTAAAGGATATTCAGTATTAAAGGATATCCAGTATTAAAGGAAATCCAGTATTAAAGGATATCCAGTATTTAAGGATATTCAGTATTAAAGGATATCCAGTATTCAAGGATATCCAGTATTAAAGAATATCCAGTATTAATGGCTATCCAGTATTCAAGGATATCCAGTATTAAAGGATATCCAGTATTAAAGGATATCCAGTATTAAAGGATATCCAGATGTGAATTGTTTAAGAATGTCTGTATCCACTTATCCTGATATTTATCCATATTATCCATGGATATCAGGGAGGGCATATTTGAGAAGGGGAGAGAAGGGGGGGAGTTGGCTTTTCGGGCTGAGCACCCTGGAAAGAAAAGAAAGATAAAACTCAATAAAAATCTGGAGAAATATGTGAGAATATAAAAAGTAAAAACAAAATAAAAACTGTCAAACAACTTTTTTTATTTAAAAATAGTAATTCTGATCTCTGTAGGAAGAAAAAATGAGAAGATTAAAATGTTGTAAAAAATTGAATAATTGAAACCATGCATCAAAGTGACTGTCAAGGATATTTTAAGTGACATTCCCGATCCAGAGAAACAATAATAAAGTTATGCTTGGTTTACTATCTGAAAATTGATAAGTGCCACTTGTGGTTTTACTGGAAAAGTGGCATGCGGATTTATGCAACAGAGAAAAGGAAGGAAATCGTCTTAATTCAACACTTCCAGATTGAAAACCGGCAACATCTTCCTCAATGTTTATCAACTAAAGGTTAGAGGGTAAGATTCCGTATTGGGTTTGGAACTTTTTATATGTTGGGTCACGAGAATAATCCCTTTAAAGAATTCATTAAACTTTCTAAAGCTTGACAGTCTGCATTGTGTTGCTCAGTAATTTGCACTGTGCACTGTATAGTGTATAGTGTATAATAAAACCGCAATGATGGAACCTAAAATTAAGATTATTGTATTGTACTGCCTGCAGTACAGTTTCTTGTTTACCTGTAATGTTTGTAAACATCAACCTGCTTCTCCTTGAGCAGGGTGGAGGAGGAGGACCAGGAGAAGAGAAGGTTGGAGCAGAGGTACAGGAGGACAACCTCAACCTTCATATTGAGGTCGGAGATCACATGACTTGTTCACTGCTCAGAGGATTTCGAGCTACTAGCCTCGGCTTTTACAAAATCAGCCTCTTCACGGGGGGATGCAAAGGTTTTGTAGATTGGGGATTAAAAAAGCTTCAAATCATGAATAAAATGTAAAATATTTAAAATATAATTGTTTTTGAGAAAGAAAATTAAAATAATAATACATTTCCCTTCCCCTCTCGTGTGGAATAGCTTCATTTTAGATATTTCGTTTCATTTCATCTCTCATTATCTTAGATACAACCATCAAACAGATTAAAAACTTCATAAACAGAGAGATTAGACGATCTTCATGTTACATCTTGCAAAACATGGTTACTTATATTCTTTATGATTAAAAATAGCATTGTGTAGAAATTGGGTTAATAAAAAAAAATAACGGATAAAATATTTTCATACTCATTTTGTCTACAAAACACATCTCCTATATAAAAAAGGTTCCCGGGGAGTAACAAGGAATAAAATAATTTCGGCATTTTTTAAAAATAATTTTTTTTTAAATCAATTTTTTTTTCAAAAATCAAAATTTTATTTTTCTTTAAAATTCATCTTTTTCTCATTAATACGTCCTCATCAGTTCTTCATCATTAATGTGTCCTCATCAGTTCTTCATAATAAATGCGTCCTCATCAGTTCTTCATTATTGAATAAAATCCAGACCATGTTTCTCAAGTCTGTGTTTCTGTGACTTTGTGACTTTTTTATTTTTCAATCATTTTTGAATTTTTTTCAGTCCGATCTGATTTATATTTGCACTGCGCAGAGACGCAGATTTATTCCCCATTGAAAAAAATCCAGACCGTGTGTCTCATGTCTGTGTTTCTCCGACTTTGGGACTTTTTTAATTTTCAAGTATTTTTGAAATTTTTTCAGTCCAATTGGATATATTTCTACGCAGCGCAGAGGCGCAGACTTAACCTTTTTTTGTCCACACAGCATTTCTTTTCTTTTTATATCAATCCTATACTGCAACTACTGAGCTGGTTGTTTTAGAAGCTACATTACAAATTAAAATGTTTGAGTGGGAAACATTAAAACAATCGGTTTCGACTTCCGTGAGGAATTTGATTTAGAACACGCACCTCTGCTTCTTTAGTAAAAGTATATTCAGCTTATATGAAGCATAAAGTCTGACTGCGTCAACCTTGTTGCACCGACTAGTCCTGTCCATAGAGCTAAGTACAGTACAAACTGGGACTGGAAAGGTTGACCCGGCTCGGAAATTTAAATGTACTGCGGCTGCACGTGAGAAATGTTCATAAATTGATTGTGCTTATTACACCAAAAAAAAAACTTAAACAAATATGATTATATTTTTAAACACAAACATCGATATCTAGTTCATACAAGATCAGACAAAGCTTTCATGAGTACTGTTTTGAATCAGACATTCCACTCTGATGATTCCATTAATATTAAATATCATAATTCCTTCAAATAACTTGAACAGGGTGTACATACGAATAATCAAATTGAGAATTAGTTTTGATCAAATTTGGAGTTATTTATTTACAGTAATCCAAAATACACTATAAAAGTTATGGCTTTCTTAATATTCATTTTAACAAAATTTTCCAAACTTAGCTTTATCTTGCTCTATCTATCTCTTTCTAGTATACCATATTTTGCAAGGAGGCTGGTTTAAGATCTATATTGAAAAAAGGTTTTAAGAATAGTGCAAAGTATTGAGACATGGCGATCCTTATAAACCTTCAATTTGCACTGTGCGAAAATTTGCATGCCTACATATACTGATCTAAACATTCAACACCAAAGATATATTTAGCATATATTTAATGAAATAAAATATGTTGATCAGCAATATAATTTAGGAAAATTAAATTTACATGCTGACGCAAATTGTAAACTTTTTTGCCTCAAAATCTCAGATGGGGGGGGGTGCAAAGTACCACTGCCCCCCCCCTGTGGCAACCCTTTCCTTGTGGAGTAACAATAAGAAGGAATGATAATTGCCTTCATACATTTAAAATAATAAATATGGCTAAGGAACTATATTTTTGCAACAAACTTAATTTGTATAATCCCTATATCTTTGCAACCTGATGGTGTAAACCTTTGTATGTCAAACATAGACTATTGGATCACAGAATTCCTAGTTTGAAATAGCAAAGGTCTACGTAATCGGGTTGCAAAGACAAAGGTGTTCAAAAAACGTTGCTTCTTCTTTTCCTATTCTCCTCTAAAAATAAATTTTTTTAACAATTTTTCCCTATTTAGAGTTTTCAATGTTTCTATTTCTGGTTTATATTGATTTGAATGTTATTTTATCGTTTAAACTGAAGAAGGTTAAACGAGAAAAAGATATATTGGGATTGGACAAACATCAAAACCTATTCTGGAGTTTGATCTAAAACTTAATTTTCTAAAGGAGAGAATAGAAAGAGCAATAAAATAAGACATATCAAGCGAATAGAATGAGAAAGGAAACTAGGACGGATTAAGAAAATAGAATGAGAAAGGAAACTAGGACGGATTAAGATAATAGAATGAGAAAAGAAACTAGGACGGATTAAGATAATAGAAGGAGAAAAGTAACTAGGACGGATTAAGATAATAGAATGAGAAAAGAAACTAGGACAGATTATCATAATAGAATGAGAAAAGAAACTAGGACGGATTATCATAATAGAATGAGAAAAGTAACTAGGACGGATTAAGATAATAGAATGAGAAAAGAAACTAGGACGGATTAAGATAATAGAATGAGAAAAGAAACTAGGACGGATTAAGATAATAGAATGAGAAAAGAAACTAGGACGGATTAAGATAATAGAAGGAGAAAAGAAACTAGGACGGATTAAGATAATAGAAGGAGAAAAGAAACTAGGACGGACTCAGGGATTTGATGGAAAACAGAGGAGAGATGAAGAAGCACTTCTAAGACAGATTAAAATGGTATGAAGAGGAAAACTAAACTAGAATGGTTTTGGAAAATATGAGGAGAACCAAATATGAGTAGAAGCAAAACTGTAATGGATTACGAGGAAAGATGGAGAAAATTAACTGGGATGTCCTAAGAAGTGAAAATTGAAGTGAAAATAGTTGTTTCTTCATTTGAAATCCTTACATTGAGGTAAGATTTCAGATTAGGTATATAATAAATATGAAAAGTGAGAAGCTTCTCTGATTATTGCTTTATAGTATATGTATATCTAAATATAATAAAGCTGGAATCTCTGTTTGTCTGTCTATTGGTATGTCCGATCCTAACTCATGAACTCATTGACCATTTTGCCTCAAATTTTGTTTGGGGAACTTTGGAGAACCACTGAAATGTTTTTAGCTTAGTTTTAAGATTCTAGATTCACTTTTATTGCAAAAATTGTAATTTACGACCAAGCGCGAGTAAACGGCGGGAGATACTATGAGTACTCTGGGTTCCCAAGCTAGTATAATATATAATTATCTGTTTCTGAGATAGGATTCACTCACTCTGATCCTTTACAGGGCAAATTGGTCTTTATAATCATTTCTACAAAAAATCCATGAATTTTTATCTGAACCGGATTTGTGATTAATCAATAATCACGAGAGGATTATTTAGGAAAAATTCTTAAAGATTAAAAAAGTCAAAAAGTCGCAGAAACACAGACATGATACTCATGGTTTGGATTTTTTTTTCAATGTGGTTCAAGTCTTCGCCTCTGCACGGTGCAGATACAAATCAAATAGTATTAATTTCAAAAATTCTTGAAAATTAAAAATGTCAAAAGTTGCAGAAACACAGACTTGAGACACATGGCCTGGATTTTTTTTAATGTGGTTTAAGTCTGCGCCTCTGCGCGGTGTATATATAAATCAAATTTGATTGAAAAAAAATTTCAAAAATTCTTTAAAATTAAAAAAACAAAGACGCAGAAACAAAGACTGGAGACACATGGTCTGGATTTTTTTCCCAATGGGGTTCAAGTCTGCGCCTCTGCTCGGTACAGATATAAATCAAATTGGATTAAAAAAAATTTCAAAAATTCTTGAAAATTTGAAAAGTCAAAAAGTTGCAGAAACACAGATTTGAGACACATGGTCTGGATTTTTTTCCCAATGTGGTTAAAGTCTGCGCCTTTGTGCGGCGCAGATATTCATAAAAAGATCGTTGCTAACATCTGCAAAAAGGGCTGAAAGAAATTGATTCTTTATGAATTCTGTTAGGTAAAATAATTCCCTTTAATCCCTATACTTTGAAATATCAAAATATAGGGATTAAAAACTTGAGTTTATGACAAAGACTCAATGATTTAATTGTGTTTTTATTGCAAGATTTTAAATAAATTCAGCAGATTAATGAATATTTAAATCTAAAAACAATACTGTAAGAATTGAATAACAAAGTTTCTCACATAAAGTATCGAATTGACTTAAAAGGAACTGATGATTTGTTTATAAGTTTATGATCCCATTATCTTTAAAACCAGATTAAGTGAATTTTTGTTATTTAAAAATTTGAATAATTCATCCATACAGAATTGGAATTATAAAAATTTTACATCACCAGAAATTGGAACAATTGTGTTGAATGCTTGATCTTTATATCTAATGTAGGCACTTTTGAATTTGAGGATCAATGCTTGATCCCTCATTCAAAGTTATCCCTAAATGGTATGACGACTATAACATAAAGTCAAAGATTCATAGATCTGCGTGAGATGGAGATCAATGCTTGATCCGGAGCTTCACGACCACCAAAGTTTTGAATACATGTTGCAAAGATATAAGGATTTAAAAATTAGAGTTTGAGGCAGGTTTTTTATTCCTTTGTAGGAAAATAATAACACAAGTAGATTATTTTCCCTTGATAGCAAAAATGGTTAAATTTGTTACATCTATTAGCACAGTTTGAAGTGACCCTCCATGCAAAGAGGGCATTACCTGATTTCCAACGGAACCTTTGACTGATCATCGTACAGTGTGAAGTTGTGAACTGAACACAGCTGACGTTAATTTATATTCCTTTCAAATCCAAAATATGCTTCGTTCAGCGCGGTTTTCA